GTTAAAGATGTAGATGACAATTGATCAGAAGAAGTCGACAATGAGATTTCATCAGAGCTCTCCACTAGAGAAGACTGATTCTTCTGTTCACCAATGACTTGTGCAGGTTGCACTTCATCAAATGCCTGGAAAAAAAGAAAAAATACAGCGTTCTGCTAGGTGTACCAACGTTACTAAAAACGCAAACATTTGTCACCACTTATAAAAATATATAACGAAGTCAGAAAATGTTAATAATTATATAAATGAATCAAACATAAAATAATTATATAAATACAAAAATATAAATATATCGTAAAATGGATTAATTTTAAGTATTTTATTTACAGCTATACTGATTCCAGAAATTCTTTGTTGATATATGTTAGCAATTTCTATCATGTATAATGTAACAAAAATAAATGAATAAATCTATTAATTAATTTATATTTTATATTATTTATACAAGAAATAAGAAATGTAGAGAAATTATAATTTTATTATAATGTATACTTCAATATCTACTGTTTAAATATTGCCGCAATATAAAATAAGAGAAAAAGCAAATTAAAAAGAAAACAAAAAGAGAAAAATGTGTATACCACTAAAAGTTTCGGGTCTACATGAAGACTACGTTTTAACATCTATTGTATCAAAACTCTAGCAAATCTCCTTCTCCCACCATATTTTTTAATTAGAGCATCAAGATCTACTTTTTTCAAAGTTTCAAGATCTTGAATCGTTACATCTTCCTTTAAAAAATTGCGTGTAGGAAATGGTATTTAGAAATGATAAACATGCATAAAAACATATATAACCTTGACCAAAATTATGAGACACCGTATTAAAATAAAGTTTTTTTAAAACAACACAAATAACAAAAAATATTTTGAAAACTTTATTTTGGGGTGCCTCATAACGTTTGTCAAGGCTGTATAATACGGAAAAAAGATATTACTTACCAATGAGAATTTGTATCACTTCTTCTTCTACTTTCAGTTCTTCAAGAAAAGTTCTCACTGTATTAGAATTTATTTCTTTCACTTCTTGACACGTAATACACTAATAATACACATAAAATACGTAATAATTGACATGTAATACAATATTATATACAAAATATTGCACACAATATTGCGTCACACTGCCTTCACGCTGCTTCGATGACGAACACGAGACAATAAAGTACAGGCTCGTACACGCTGGGCCCATCGGTACGACTGTTAGCACAACCAATCACAATCGAGTTACCAGCCCTGCCAAAAATGTGCGATTAAAACCGATTAAAACGGAATCCTTTTTAATCGATTTTAAGCTGTTTTAATCGATTCAATCCACGAGCGGATTAAAAAGTAATCAGTTTTAATCCCACACGAATCGTAATTGATTTTACTATCGCTTTCGCAAATTATTTTTAATCCGAAATAATTACATTCTAATCCATACTGTTATCAATCCAAATAAATTTGAATAATCGGATGGATATACAGGGTGTCCCAAAAATTTTGACACAGCGCTTGTATGCTGGTAGAGAAGAATAAACTGAATGAAAAAGTCCTCTACCATTTTGCAATTTTCGCAAGGGTTAATGAGATATTAATTATTAAAGATCGCCAAATAAGTGCGTATCCGCTCAGCCCACCGCCAAATGCAAGCGCACGGCGAGATACGACCGCCCAGCGAACGTGATCGCTTGGCGAGCGGTGAGTTGCTTAAAATGCAAGCGACAATGGGTGCGTTCGTCTTGCTCGCTTTCGTGCTGAAAGCGTACACAAGCGTCGCTTTTGCCGTTCACCTTTGCACTTTACAGCGCTGTCAGTATAATAATAACGTCATAGTTTGTGTACGTTTACGTCATCATTCCTCGCTTAATTCGCTTTTTCAAATGAGGTAAGGCAACGAAAGCTTTAGCACTGTTAGCCAAGACGAACGTATCCTGAAGCACTGCCAGTTAAGACGAGTAAAAAATAAATAGAGAAAAGAAGGTTATAAGGAAAAGAATCTGATTGTGAGTAAAAAATGGAAACGTATTCAATAACAGATCACAATACTGGAGAAAATTATGAGATTAAATTAACACTTGACGAAGTAAAACGTTTTGAAGAAGGTAATTATTTTATTTAATATATTACAATTTTCTTAGTTAACCTTTCTTAATAACTTTTCTTAGAAGTGTTATTAGTATTTCTTATCTAATTACAATTATTAAAAAATCATATTTATTGTTTTTTTTATTATTTATCTAAAAAATTATTTATAATATCCAGAAATTTAATATAAATAAAATTTTTTTCTTATTTTCAGATGCTGATTTTGCGTTGCAAAAGCTTAACGAAGCCAAAAATGCATTATCATCACCACTTATTGAAGACGGAAAAAAAGATGCAACTGAAGAGAAAGAAAATGAAACTTGTTCATTAATTGATGCAAATAAAACATTTAAATGGCCTCACAAAGCTATCTTATTACTTATCGAGGAGTATCGTATTCGAAAAGATGATTTTGCTTCTGGCAAAATATCTCAAAAAAAAAATTTGGGAAGCTATTAGTAACCCAGATAGCACAGAAATGAATAGAAGTTTATAAAGAATTCATTTTAAAGAAGTCATACAGAATTATAAAAATGAATACCTGAAGAATTCTAAAAGAATTAACTGCAATCAGTTGTCTTGAAATATTCCCCAAGAATTCCTTATAATGAATACTTTGCGATTCAGTATTTTGAATACTTCGAGAATTCATGAGGAAGTATATTATTTATTTTGATTTCGACCAGATGGAGCTATTAGATCATTCGTTACTGTGCGACCTCCGCGAGTACAAGCGAGAAACGTTTCTTACATTTTACATGTGTAAAGCGCAAAATGCTTCTTCCGATTCATTTCGTATAGTGTGGTATAGTGTGTTCTACCGAGCAGTCACGTTTGTATGTTCTGTGCCACTGCAATATATAAAAACGGACAATTTATATTGAATGTAAGTACGGTTGAATTATTATACTATATAACCTTAAAATAATTGCGTGCAGTAAGATTTTTTATTTTCATTGTTTTATTACATATGTACACGTCGTCGAAATACATTAATTTTATAAAACTTTTTTTTGTTAACAAATGAAAAGGAAAGAAAGCTGAATAAGCCCGAGCTAATATAATTCTCAATTGCTCATATAATTATTAATTGTTGAATTTTACAAAACAAACGTTTCGGCTCGTCTTTACGACCATTCTCAGTGTTTATACAAATAAAAGTTACATGAAAAATAATGCAAGCTTTCGAAAATTTGTTACATGTCGTGAAACGTCAAAGCCTTGAAAGTATGTTGATATTTTTGAGATTGACCAACATAATTTGAAAGCTCCGACGTTTCACGACATGTAACGAATTTCCAAACAAGCTCGCATTATTTTTTATATAATTTTATTTTATTTGAAAGATCAGGTCATCTGTAGTGGCTTCCTATTAACTAGTAATGGGCACAATCGGTTGTTTTAAGGAATCGAGCATGTCGATTATTTTGAAAAGAGCTATCGATCATAATCGATTGAATCTTTAACATGATCGATTGATA